CCCCCGCCCAAAAAAAAAGAAAGAAAGAAGGTGCAAATGAGATTTTTTTTCAGAAGTAAAATAAGAATTTTGACAATTTTTTAAAATAAAATAAAATAGAAATAGAAAATATATGGTTTTCGCCTCTCGGGAAATAGGTCAGCTGTCGATGGACCTGATCACACGCGCGTGGTGTGGTTGGAAGTGATGTCTAAAGGAGCAGGGGAATCATATTATGTTCACTCGATGTGCATAGGGGGTATGGAATCATCATCATCAACTATTAGAGTTTGTTTATTTATTTATTTATTTATATGTAAAACATTCTTCTGTATGTTTACTCTAAGACTAACAGCTAATTTCAAAATCCAAAATGCTGCACACTTTGTTGTTATTACTAAACACAAAAGCGCCAGATTATAGAATTGGGCAGGGTCCCAAAAGAATTTTTTTATGTTTATCTATAATTATAAATAAATGATTAGCATACCAAAATGAGCTAGTCGAGAATCAAACTTTCCATTTTTAAAAACGTGAGCTTGTGACGTCACCCGTGCGCCCAGCCTACAAAGGTCACCGATAAGAACGCCCCGCCCACTTCAGTTCCCCCTGGTGCCAGGTGCCAGACTTCATGACCTTCTAGCGAGGTGAAGGACGCGGTGCGGGGAGTGTTGTTGAAGAGATGTCTGTCTGCAGACGCCATGTTGCTCGCTTGAAAAAACAGAAGCAGCAATGTCTTCAGCTGAGTAAGAACAAGCAAGTCCCTGCAATCGTGAACACTGCTCTCCATCCTTCCACATAGCAGAGTAAAATTCATGAACGGTACTTTTGGTTAAGTTTGAGTTAAAAGAAAGCTATCGACGCAAAAACGACCATTTAGTGTGCGCAGACATATTCATATTACATTATATAGAAACAACAATGGGAGAGAAAAGAAGTAAGACCATTTAGTGCAAGGAGACATTTTATATAGAAACTATACAGAGATAGTAAAGAAGTATAAAGACCATTTAGAGCAAGGAGACACATTATACAGAAACCACACAGAGATAGTAAAGAAGTATAAAGACCATTTAGAGCAAGGAGACACATTATATAGAAACCACACAGAGATAGTAAAGAAGTAAGACCATTTAGTGGATGGAGACATATGTATAATTTTTTTTATAGAAACCGCAAATGGATAGTAAAGAAGTAAGACCATTTAGAGCAAGCAGACATATAATATAGAAACAACACAGGGATTATAAAGAAGAAAGACCATAATTTAGAACAAGGAGCAGTGTATAAGAGAAAACACAAATGGATAGTTAAGAAGTAAGACTATTTAGTGCAAGGAGACAAATAGAAACCACAAATGGATAGTTAAGAAGTAAGACTATTTAGTGCAAGGAGACAAATAGAAACCACAAATGGATAGTTAAGAAGTAAGACTATTTAGTGCAAGGAGACAA